AAATATTGTATAGCCCTAAAGCCCAATTCGAAATGCCACTGAGATTTTGAATGGAAGACGAATGGGAGGCGCATACCACTGGTTCTTCATCAAGTGCCTACATACAAGCATCAGCTATTTGAATTCACATTATAAAGATAATCAGAATAGCTGTTAGATTCGATGCGGTCTAGATCTTGATAGATGATCAACTGACGCCTTCACTCTTCTGCAAGCTGCTGTCGGTTTGTCACCCACACTGCATTCACCCTTCTTTTCTGTGGAGCTTTTGGTGACCAAGCTGTAGACGATGCATTTCCCATCCTGAAAGTACAAACAATTCTCAGCTGGAGCTGCACATATCACTGTAGAAAAGACGTCTTTACCTCCATAACCACCCAAAGAGACTTGCCATCAGCGCTCCACTGTAGAAAGGTGACCTTGCTTTTCAGCTCCTCGTCTACGTTGAACTCTAAAATGTCTAAAAGTCATCAACAGTCGCGTCTTAGAGCACGCGAAGATTCAATGGTCCCCAGAAGTAGTCGGAAAAGACAGAAACGATCGTTTTTTGAATGGGACTTCCAGAACACGCTTCATTCTATTTCATAGCCAAGTTGGATAAAAATATGTCGCAAGTAAATACATAAGGTCTAGTAAGAAACAGTAAGAATCCTACCTATATTGGCCTCCGGTGATAGGATTGCTAGTAATCCATCAGTCCAAGCAATCGCTACGAGGATCTCCAAAGGATTCCATGAAAGAGCAGAGACAGTACTTTTCCGTTGCACCACAACATCTTCAAGGCGGACACCCTTTAATTTCGATGATCATCAGTTTATGAGGCTGTTATCGAGTACAAGCACAGAAGGCAGTAATGCTGACTCCGCTCTCTGCTTACTGTAAGAGGGCTGTAATTTGAATTAGAGTTATGACTCAGTTTTCCTCTCTATAAGAAGGATACATGTCAATTGTGGCCGTGCTCCGAGCCAGGAGGTGCACAAAAAGACTCATAGTCGATATCCATAAAAGGAACTTTGTTCAAACTCAAAACGTCCAATCACATCACTTTATTGATAATAATAAGCGTAAGAAATAACGAAAGTACACACCTTGTGAGTAAAGAAGTTAATCTGAACAGAGGATTGAACTTGAGAAGCCAAACACAACCAGCCACTGCAAGGCGACCATGCAAAGATATTCTTGTCCATCGAAATTCCTCAGAATATCATGAATGGGCCAGCAATCATGAAGGCCATAGAAAACCCGCGCTCGAATTCATGCCGTTACTCGGTACACCGTCGCTATGGCGACCAAAAGACAGCGCACCTGCCCGATGTTTCGTTAAATACAGCGCTCCTATTGCTTTCTGAAGAACATTGAAGCAAACAGATTGAATTGATTGAAGATTGAAGTAAACATTCTATAAGCACTATTTAGGTTTTGGTTTACAGAGTGCCATAGAAGTCTTACGAGTTTTAAGAAAATTTGAAACGAGGAGCTCAATACCACTGGGCGAGTCATTATCACGCAAGAGAGACACCGCCGCATGCCACTTCCAATCCCTCAACCTCTTTTTAAAACTCCAAATCCACTGATTATTCAATCGCCTATACACAACTCCTTTGGGAACACCTCAATCCCCTGACCAACGGAAAGCAAACAGATACTTTACTCTCACCAACAACACCACACAATAAATAAACAATTCAATAATCAATGATGCTTCAATAACGCTTTAGTCACAAGTACATCCTATAACAACGTCCTAAACGGCAAGTCGGACTTAATTTTTACCTTTAGGATTCTATATTTTCTATGTAATAGGGTTGAATACAGGCTGAGTATGGATTGCGCAAACCAACAACAGAACCACTACCCCGTCCTATGTCGATCACAAACAAC